AATTGGAAAGAAAAAAACCCCTCTGACACTTTTCTGACAGGATAAACAGAGAGTCTGAAAACACTGATCAGAACAAGGCAGAAGTACTAACTTAGAGCTGCTTGTACTAAAATATCACAGCAAATCAAGCAGAGAAAGAAACCGAGTTAGAGAAATAATTTTAAACTGATGTAAAGTCATTTGATGAAACCCCAAATTTTACACTGGGCTAAAAAGAAAAAGAAAAAGATTGCACAAAACATTATTTTTAAAGGCGATGTCTGAACCTGTCTCTGCTTTCTTAAGGTTGCATTATCTATGCCAATTAAAACTTTGCTTCTGAAAAAGAGTTAAGGCACTTCCTCTAGAGTTACTAAAAAAAGCAAATGAAAGCCTTGGCTCCGCAGACGTGAGTGATAGTGAGCCGTTTGTTCTTGACCTCTGGATCACCCTACAGATCAAATTCTTGGACATAGGAAAAACCCACTAGTATTCATTAAAAGCAACTGGGAGGCCAGCTTTGTGCTTCTGCTCTTGAGACCCGAACAAGCTACAACTTGACAAACGTGCAGGATATTGCTGAACAATGCTGCTGTTCCTGTCAGGAGGGGAAGAGCTTTATTCCCAGCTCCATTCAGGATGAATTAATTTTCATCACAATGATGCAAATCACAGATTTCAGCCGTTATTTAAATAATTGATTGTCATCTTTTACATTTGTGGTGCTTTTCAGTTATCCCCATAAAGCTGATTCTGTTAACCATTAACATGCATTCATTTATACTGAATTAGCTTTTACACTATGCATTTCTTCCTTCAAAAAGATACATGTATGTCCAGTTATCTAAACATATATATAGGCTGAAAGTCCCAGACCTCCAGCTTTACTTCTCATTCTCTGTTAGGTATGAGTAGAATTTGCTCACACACTTTCATAGCTAAAAATGACATAAAGGATTGCTTTGTTAGATTATTTTACAGCTTTTGACATTTTTTGGTGAAATTTTAATGCAGAACAGAATTTAAAATCCATAAATAAGCCTATTGCCTCATTATTCATAAAATTAAGAATCACGAATTTCAATGCACACACAATAAAGTACATCACAACACTTTTTCTTTTCAACTACTTTTCATTTTCAAATAAGCAAAAAAACCACAAAAGTTACCTATAGAGATGATCAGCAGAACAAAATAAAACAGCAAAAAAATATTCTCCCTGAACAATTGTTTCTGTCAAAATGTGGTTTCAACAAATTCTGGCTCCAGTTAACTGCAGTTCTCTGGTGGATTGAATGCTTTTAAAGCTTCATTAGAAAACATACACTGTGAGAATATTTTTATCCAAATGTCTACAGCATACTATGGTAAATTCAGTCCTTAGCACGGATGAACAATTTCAAATATAATTTAAAAAAAACAACACGTATTTTAAAATAACGTTTGAATTTAAGTAAAACTTACGCTAATTCACTTATGCATATTCAGCACCCAAAGCTGCAGTAAAAACAGACTGTCTCTCCTTACCCTTTCACAGATACATCAGTATGAGTTATGCTTATGTTTACCTCACAGAAGGAGCTTTAAGATTTAAAAATTCATAAATCCATCACTGGTTTTATTTTCTGTCCTGTTTAATAAGAGACCTCCATCTCAAATTTCCCAAGGAGAAAACGTTTTCGCTGGAATCTTACAGAATTTTTTTACTGCATAAACTATCAATTATTTTCCCACCAAACAAGCCAGGTTCATAGGGCAAAGTCAGAAGGAAGAGAAAGGAGGGGAATGTTTTTGTGGATTGTTATCTATAGACCAAATGGAAAATCTTCAGCCATTTTGTTCCTTCAAGGTACATCAAAGAATCTCCTATTTAAGGTGTGAAAATGTCACTTACATTCTTCACCTCAGAAAATGAGCAAAGCTCTGAATGTGATTTATGTCCCACCCTTGCACTTTTCTCTTTTAGGGGCTGAGAGTCTTCTTTTCAACTTCCCTCCAGCTAATGCCATTTAATACTCTCAGAACCATCAGGCTAAATTCAAATTTTCTGCTCCTTAGAGGCTGTTGTTATGCACCACCGCACATTCCAACTGCAAATACACATGAATGCTCCCATGTATTGTAAGTTATTTTTTTCCTCACAAATTCTGCTAAATTGTAAGTTAGGAGGCACGACTTGAATTCTCTTAGGTCTTTAGAAAGCTTTTAGATGTACCATGAGTAATAACATGTAATGAATATGAACTGATATTTCTTTTCTGTATTTACACTGAGGTGGCAATTTACATTTTCTAGATAGATGACTTATAGCCAGCCTTCCCAGTACTCTGGCAATTACTTCTTAGAAACCCCTGACAGGCTGAAACCTCCAGAATCACATCTGTTATTCTTGGTTTGATCCCTCTTTTTAAAATTAAAACCAGTAGCTTTATCAGCAAATGAGAATTTTTTTTATCCCCCCTCTGGAAATACTTATAAAACTGCACATAAATTGAACATGCCAACTTATCTCATGTTAGGGTTGGCACATCTCCTGGGCTAATGACCAGTGTTCCATTTCTGTGACAGAACTAATTGGGATAAGGAGGCCATAAATACATACAAAACCCCACAAATTCCCTTCCTTTGGGGTAATTTGAAGATTTATGGAAATAGAGCAAGATGTGATTCAAGGGGAGAGAGTATAAAAATTTAAGTAGTGGTAAAATGCTTGTCTGATCATTTTGCCTCAGTTTCCAGGCACATAAAAAAAAATAAAGCAGATTTTTCTAATATCTGATGGGACTTTTCCTTCCTCTGAAAGACTGGCTAAAACAGAAAAAATTAGTACATTTTCATTTTTCTAGAAACTGTCATTATTTAAAAAAAAAAAAAGAAAAAAAGGGAGGGCAGGGGTAAGAGAAAATGCACAGACAATGCCACATTTCTGTTCTCAACACAGACTGGCTGATTGATCTAAAAAGCTGTATTGAAAATGGTAGCCTCAACTCCATACCAACAGCTGCTCAAAACGTGATTTGACAACAATTTTTTCGCAGCTGAACACAAATTAAGTATCAGTCAAGAGAGAGAAGTCTGCACTTGGCTCGAGCTCAGTGTCAGTTTCTAACAATCTAGCTTCATTTATCATGCACCACTAATCAGAAAAATCCAGTTATCAATGGATTATATGAAAGATTAATTCAAGTTTGCCTTCCATGACTAGGTCAGGATACATATGCCATTCACTTTTTACAGCTAAGACAACTCAGGGCCTTGCTGTGATGTCCCTTAATATTCCAGAGCAAACATTCTAAATCCATGTGTACACCTGTAAATTGAAAGAACTTCTAAATGCAGCTGGAGACAAAAGGATGACAGGTTTCCATTACAGATTTGGGAAGGGAAAAAGAAGAGTCTCAGCCCCTAAAAGAATAAAGTGCAAGGGTGGGACATAAATCACACTCAGAGTTCTCCCTTTCAGAATACCAAACTCACTGTCCTCCAGACTTGGATTCTGTGTTCTCCAGGTCTCTCCAGTAGTGCTGGAGGAAGCTGAGCTCAGGTAAATCTTATCCAAAGAAATTTGGAAATAGGCCTACACTTCCTAATCACTGGGTGCCTCAGAGGCCCTCCAAGTCTGGTGCATACCTACAAAAGCAGCTGAACACAATCTCAACCTTAGCAGCAAACCTTCCTCAGCTCCTCACCCTACAGGCAAACCCACCCAAAACTATCCAAGGCATTATGTGCCCTGTCCCCTGAGCTGCTATTACAAAAAAATTGCTTTGGGATGTCTTGAGGAGATGATTCCTAACCCGAATTAAGATCATCCTTCCCAATTTGCTGATATTGCAGGATTTAGAGCATTACTTGTTTTTTAGCTATGCAATGTCAGGCTGATTTAAACTAGTAGCTAAAGGCTATGACTTAAATTAAAAGATTAGTAGCTCAAGTCAAGAATGTGAGATACAGAGCTAGATCAGACTTTTCTAGCCAGCGCTAATGCATACAATATAACCAGGAAAAAGCATTGTCAGGACTATCACCAAGGTATGCAGGCCAAGACAACAAAGATGAGATGAAGGGGAAAATTTCTAATGCATATATAGGTTTGTCCCATTTTCTGATTCAACCCCTGTCATCCTCCCTTCTTCTCCTACTTTCACCTTTAAAGCAAGCCTGACATCAAAAATAAGTTATAAACTTATAATAAGCCCTTCTTAGAGGTGCACATAAATTAGCATCTCCGCACTTCTGACAATTGGGAATGCCAAGCAACAGAATGATTATCACCATCACTCAAGTTCAGATCTCTGGTACAGTTTGAAAGGACTGTGGCTGTTCTTAGCATGAGAATTTAGAACAAGTGCTACCCAAGGCTCCACAGAATGATGTCAGGAATCACAATTAAATGACATGTAGAAGAAATAAGGAAGAATCTCCTTAGCACAAAACTGGGCAGCAATCTTTCCTGCATGACATGCTTGACACTTGGGTGGAATGACACCAAAACTGGTTTGAAATTTTGTTATCACAACTTTACAAGCAAAAGAAAACAATGCCTAGAACTGATCAAAAATAAGGCTTAAAGCACCTGCTGCCTTGTGCCCTTATGCTGTGTGGGTGTTAAATGCCACCACAATAATCTATTAGCACAGCAGATATAAATAGCTCAACAGTATAGAATTGAATGGAGTTTCCCTAATACATCCCAAAATGCCACCACAGTTAATCCACAAGCACAGAGTCAGTATTGACTCCACAGTTTAAGTGCATTCACCAGGCAGAACAGAAATAGTTACAGTTCCTTTTGTCTTATTTCACACACGTGGCTAAATAGAGATTATCTACCCAAAAAGAAAAGATAAAGAAAAAAAAAAAAAAAAGAAGGAAATACAACTTTTCAGAATGGTTACAGCTAAGTTTGATACTGTTCTGCAGGGCAATGCAACAAAGCAGCTTCATGCACATTCAACAGGAATGAGTCCTGCTTTGGTTCAAGAAATAAACAGCAAAGAAAGTTTAAAATTGAGACTTACCACGGGGCACCATATATTCGGAATCCTTTAACTGTTACCTCTGAATCTTGTAAGTAAATACTATTTGTCAGGAGTGACTGAACATTGTCAAAGTCCTCTGGTTTCAATTTGGACACAGAGGGAAAGCGGTAGTAATCTTGTTTAACAAGGTCTGCCATGAATTCCTTATCAAATGTCAGTTCATGATTCCCAGCAATCACTATTTTATATTCATATGGTAGGTTTCCTGAAATAACAAAAAAGAGGACTCAATTAGCACATTTCCTCCCACACCAGCGATGCCAGCACGATAAGCAGCGACAGAGTGGAACACCCTTGTCCTGTGCGCATCCCCGCGCTGGGCACGAGACGCTGATGCTGCTCCTCCTCGGTGGAACGGCGTCAGAACACACAGGAACAGCACCCAGAGCGATGCCACAGCCAAGAGCTCAAATAACCAGCTGGCAGGAAACAAACCAGCTCCCAAAGGTGGCAGAAACCACCCACTGCTGGTTTTTACACCTGGATGTGACAGTCAGGTCTTGATCCAGAGCCAGGAGTGACCTGCAGTGAGGAACCTGAGGCTCCCAGCAGACCAGAGCCTGCAGGATGCCTGCCAGCTACGCCCTGAGAGCACCAAAGCAGACTGCTGGTTTCTAAATTATGGCATTATTTGGATTAATTTGTATTCCAGTGGCATTTATTCAAGACCTAGTCTATTCCCCAAAGCTTCAATTCGTATGCAATGTACTTCTATATTATTATTATTTTTGTTATTATGTTTATGGCAGTATCTTGTTTCTTGCAAAAAGCACACAAGTAGAAGCAATCATGAAATTCAGCCAAATAAGACAAACTAGGGAAAAGGAAAATCTGGTTAATTCATTTACCATCAGAGTCAGAAGTAAAGAATTACATGTTTTCTCCTTTCAGTTCAGGGGAACTAATACCATTGTTGGGAAGGAGGCATGGATCATGCTCAGGGAGCCAGATTTTTGGAGTTCAGAACAGATTTTCAAGCACTTGGTACCAGCAATCAGTGCCAGATCTTCCAAATAAACATACTGGGTGCTGAGCTCCCTTAAAAATACAGTCCCACACTGTGGTGTCTTCACAGAAGTTCGGCCCTTTTACAAAATCTGTCCCACTGTGACTTGCCAAAAATCACACGTAAGATTGCATCAAAGCTAACTGCCACTGCCTTCACAATAAGCCTGATTTCTTAGTCTCATACCTTATCCTTCATTTTGGTGTTTATTACTAATAATTATTTAGAAATGGTTGAGTTTGTTATGGGGATTTTTGTGCAGTTTGTTTTTTTCATAGAGGCAGCAAAATGTATGTAGAAATCTGTGGGTTCGTCTTCTAGTTCTGGAACTCGCAACATCTGTCCCAGGGAAGACAGAATCAGAAGTCACACATTTCTTGTGAGTACAGTTCTAAACAGAAGCAGCTTTGCTAGTTTAAAACTTGTCTTTTAACTTTTGAATCTGTTTGGGTTTGGGCTCTTTTTTAAAGAAACTTTTTTAAAGTTTCACAGTAAAGCTGTAACTATATATAACAAGCTTAACTTTTCCCCTACGTAAGACTTACAGGGGAACCAGTCAAAACTTTCTGCTTCTCAATATTTGCAGCACAGGAACAGGAATTACACAAGGTATGTGTGCAAACATCATCTCTGCAAAGTTAGTTAATTCTGGATAGAAAACCAAAAAGCTACAAATCCCTTGAAAAAACCAAGCAGACGATGTTTTTCATAGACACCTCACATCTGAAAAAACTACAGCTTGTACATATGCATAAGTCTGTGGTGCTACATTAGATAAAAGTTGGGGAGATGCAATAAATGCTCCTCTACAGCTTTTGACTCACTCCTTTCCCACTTTCCTCCCCTTCACCATCTCTGCTGCATGCTGCTCTGCAATTCATTTTTATTTAAAAACTCTGTGTGTACCTACAATTCCCGCTCTCTGTGACTCCTGGCCACAAGATAAAATTGCAATTTTTTCTTCTTGCAGGAAACATAAAAGATACCACCAGCATGAAATTTGATACACTTGTCATAACCATCAATCCCCCAAAACAAGCTAGGTGTGATAATATTCTCAGAGAAGTAGGATGGAGAATTTAAATTCAGGTTTCTGCTAAGTTATCAACATTTGCCTGTTTTAACACAGAAAACTCTTCATCTTACTTGATACGTGTCCAAGGCTCACACTTCCATTTATTTTGATAGACTTGAGAACCAGCACGTTTTGCTGATATTATTCCCAATTAAGCCTGGAGCATTTTTGCTCAGTTTTTTTTTTACCTTGACATTTTAAAAATCAGGGTTTACTTTGAAGACACACAGGACGTGTAAAGGCAAACTAATGGTGACATCAGCAACTGTTAAAATATATAAAAGTAACATTATACATGTTATATAGGAACCTGACATAGACATCTCTAGGGGAAACCCTGACAGTATTTTTTGCAATTGGTGTGAAGACAGCTGTTTGTATTTTCAGGAGTAAGGAGATGCCCCACTTGTTCATTTCTTGAGAGGAGGCACTGGCAGGGAACAGCCTCTCTCCACTGCTGCCAGGGAGCCCAGGACACGGCCCCGCCAACAAAAACTAAGGACCAACACCAGGATGTGATGAATAAATAGGAATTAAGGAATTGCCTCAAGGAATGAGGCAAGACAGACCCTGGAGAAGAGCCCCCCCCAAGGGATCCAAGTTTATCAGCATGCACCCTTGAGCTCTGGCTCAGTGGTTCTGCACCCCAGTGCCTGGGAGCTGGGGAGGAACCAGCGCTGGCCATGGGTGTGACAGCCACCAAGCCAGGCTCCCCCTCCTCCAGCAGCCAGACCAGAAATCCTGCACTCTGTGTTTGTGCCTACTGCAATATCTGCCACAGGAAGGGCACCAAGACCTGGCCTTGCTCCCCACCCAGGGCCCCCTGGTCATCACCTTTTGGTTCTTGTTCTCTGGTGCTGGCCCTGGAGCTTGCCATGAGCATCTCCAGACCTCAAAAGGCAAACACATCAGAAGCCAGGGCAGCAGCAAGAGGAGGTCTCATTCAATTCTTCTCTCTTCCCTGAGGAACGACTATCTAGCACTAATCACAGTAATAATTACCTGCAATCAGATCAGCTATTTATTCATCACGTTCTGGTTTTTCCTTCTCGAAAGGCCCCGTGGCATTGCACAACATCCACTCTCTCTGATACAATTTCTGAAATATTTTGGTGTGTTTTCTTTTGGCAGACCTGCCCCTTGTCTATAATCTGTAGACCTTATGTTTAATATGGAAACATAAACAGTCATCTTCAAAAATCTCCTACTCCATGGTAATTTGGTTTCATCTTGACCAGATTAATCTATGTGTGTCTGCATCAGTGCAATACACAGGTTGAAAGGCTTATCCTCATTTTCCTTCACTAAATTTTTGTTATCTACATTTGGCCTTTATTAGTCTGATTTCCTAGCTATCAAATCTTCCATTATGCATCAGTAACATCATTCTGGAAAACAATTAGAAGAATCCTTTTCCACACTAGAAAAAGTGTGATCTGTTTGCTGGGCCAAGCACTTCAGAAACCCCAATTATTAACTTCCAGCATAATAACTGAGTTTATTTTAAATACTTAAATGCTTAACAGGTGAGATCAAAAGGCTAAAATTACAACTACCAAGAACTACCAGGGCATTAAGTCTGAGAAGCAGAGTCACTTATACTGGAGTATTTGAAACCCATATTTATGTGTATATATACACACAGACACACAGGGTGTGCATATTGTGTATCTTTAAAATATATCTATTATTTTGGTTAACACGTTTTTCAACGTCTGCTTTCAACAGTACAAGCAAAGGCACAATGTAATCACTGATCAAGAAAATACTGCAATTAGACAAGTTGGTCTGTTCTGGAAGCCAAAAGGTCAACACCGCTTTTGCTCAGATAAAGGCAACAATGGTTATCGCTGAATGACTTGTAAAAATGGAATTGTTTACAGTAAATGCATTAATCTGGGAGTCTCAGACAATTTCTGTGACTTTTGGTCAAACAAGTCAACCCTCAAGCTCCAATTACCTTTTTCCCCCAGTGTTTCATCTTTACCCCTGTGCCACCTTCCTGCCAATGCAAGGATTTGGTGGAGCAGAGTGGATCAGGGCACTGATCCAGGTGAAAACTGATGTAGCAAAAAAGGAGTGGGGGGGTCTGTGAATGCTGCTAAGGCAGCACTTCAATTGCTGGCTGCAACCACTTAAACCACTCCAAGTGCCAGCTGAACAACAGACTGACTTTAAATATATCTCCCACATGGGACAAGGGGGGAAGCTTGGGAGCCAGGGGGTTGTGGGTGTTTTTTAACCTACATAAGTAGTTGTTTCAGTGGCTTTCTTTAAGTTCACCTTAAGCACTTGGCTCCTAGGAAGCCTTCATCTGGGGAACAACCATTCCCATTTTAATAGCATGCTTCATGAGTGCAGTTTAGTCACACAACCCAAGTTCTGTAGAACTGCCAGACATGAAAAGGAGTGTGCCTGGCAGTGAATGTTAACTGCTGAGTCCCTATAAAAATAGAAAATCACATTATTTTTTGACTACTGTTACCTGCAAACCTCACAGGGAAGTAGGGGAGTAAGAAATAATGTGATACTAGCTGTCTATATAGTGGAAGAAACCTGTATTTACACATAAATGATATGCAAGTGCTTCTGATGTGAAGCTCTGAATATGCATACGCATGCATTAACTAATCACACAACACTTCCATGAAACATGAAGCTTTTTTTCATGCCTGCTTCATAGCCTCATAAACCCTCTGGCCATATGCTGAGAAATAGGCTGAGAAGCCTTGAAGTATAAATCTTAGTCCCCTCTAAAAGAGGGAAAACTGTACAAGAGATGTGTCTGCAAGTGAATCATCTCAAATTTATGGTATATTGTATATGCCCCAAAAGTGCAAAACTGGTCATGGAGCATCCCCCTATAACCAACCCCATACAATTCCAGGGATACAACATGGAAGGAGCAGATTTTGGTTTGCTCCTAAAGACTTCCAGTCCCCAGAGCTGCAGCTATTGAGAGCAACCAGCACAGCCCACCACTGGTCAGCAGCTCTGCAACTCTCCCTAGAAATGTTTCTCATGGAAAGCCCTCAGAACCACAAGGCATGGTCACTCTCCCTTCCCAGCATTTATAGCACAGTCACAACACACAGAGGCTCCTTTCTGCTTTTTAAAAACAAAG